GCAAAGATTGTTTCCAACTGCCATTGCAGAGGCAAATTTCGAATAAATTTTGCCCTCAACGGCGACTTGAATAAATCCTAAAACTAATCAATTGAAAAAGACCAATTTATTCATTTAGCTTCAAGCGAAAAGTGGAAAAATTGCGCTAATCTACAAATAGTGACAGAGAAAAATTGTCACGATTCCTTCCTAGATTAATAATCCGCTAATCCGCTGACCTATTTTAAACGTAGCATTTATTCGATGAAACGTCCCGTCTTAGGGCTAAGCCCTAATAGGGCATGTCATATTTCGTACGTTTAGTCATGCAATTTGACCCAATAAATCAAAAGGGCCACTTGTTACTGAGAACTCCCCCCCGAGTTCGAGTTTCACATTAAGCAACTGTTGAGTTTTCTTTGTTTGCTGCTGTTTAATAATTTCTTTCGAATATGTGCATTATTTTCATCAGTTTCAAACAAGGCTCCACACGCACTTATGATGAATCTACTTGTTACATACATAAATATATTGCAGTGCTTCCCGTGCTTTCCCCATTCGCACCATTTGGCCCGACAATATCACCCCGTAAAATAAACGAGCCAAGAAAAAGCAAAACGCGTCGTAGGACAATATATTAAAGTATTTTTTTATCTTTAAGGGGATATGAACATTCGTTGTATATTCAAGCTAGACAGTTACAAATGGGGCTGAACCGAACACACAAATATTCTGCATTTACCTTGACAAGCGACAACTTGGAAAGTTTCACATTCAAAATGGGCATATATTATATGTATAAATGTACTGCGAACAAAACATAATAAATTTGCTGAGAAATGAGACACTTGATCGCTGGGATGGATAAATCAGACTTATACACACTCAAGATCACAAGGATTCTTGATGATATTTTGCTTCAAAAATTTGTTCAAAGAACTTTCTTAAATTTTTTATTACGCACTGATAACAAATGCTTTTGATTCGCAACTAATACGAATTATTTTCCAAAAAAACCAAGAAATATTAAGAACTACCAAGTTCCTTTTTTCGTTATGCTAATTATAAGACTCAAATCACCCGATAATGGTGGAGAAAGGCAGTGCAAAAGTCTATCTCAAAGAGCAAATCCAATTAAGTGTTTTGATTGAAATTAAACACTAATTAATAGAAAATGAAAATAAATTTCTTACCAATCTTTTGATCCATCAGCGGCAAGTTCAATATTAGAATCATCTTCAAAGCAAGCAAAACAAACAGTCCTTTTTTCTGCAAAAAAAACTCTAACTTCTTTAAGTAAGTCCTGAATCTTCAAATACTACCAGCAATGTTTGTTTCAACTTCTAGTCCCCCATCTATATTTCCAGTATCGTCTTTGCAAATTCCATAAATCTGTTCAGCTGCTACATGTTGCGCGGATTTTGATTTATGCAGGAAACAAAACTCCAAAGCTAAACGTCCTGTTACCGGTCAGGAAATGCACTTACATTGGGTAATGTTAGAAAGACCTATTATTCTCGTTGCAATATTAAAGCTATTATCTCTGATTGCGTTTGCTATCCCGAATATATTTGCATAATTTTTCCGTTTGTGGTGGCGTGAAAGGAATTGTGGCTCGGTGCCGGTTCAAAAAGGTGTTTGCATGCCAACATTTTCTATTTTCTATCGGGCACGACGAATGAAATGGATATTTGATAAACTTTGATTTGGTTTCGTTGAGATGCTTAAGTTTCACAACTGGTTCCCTCATTCATAGCCAAATATAGACAGTTAAATTAATTCAAGACTGGGAAACAGTCAGAAACTTTGCGTTATATTAACCAGTCAGCGTAGGTTGAGTTCTAACAGTGTTCAGTGCCATCTTCTCTCAAGATTAACCCACATTTTATTGGCGAATTATCCACATTTAAATCATAATTTGGGATCAGGTAGACTCAACTATTCACTGCTTATGTTCTGGATACGGGGAAGACAAATAACAGCAACTGCGGGGCGACACTGATTTGGGCTCAAAAAATAATCTGAGCTAGTCGAGTTTCCTTCAAAATCATTCTAAACTGTTAATATTTTCACTTCAATCAGAAGCTTTTTTTGTCATTCTTTTACATTAGCTGATCGTTAAACAAATTGTCGTTCTAGTTTAAGTACTTTGCTTCGTGTTGGCGAAAGAAAATGAACAAAAATTAAATCTAAACTTTTCAGAGAAAAACATTCGGACTTAATAAGTGTCCAATTTAAACTGACTGCAGCTCTCGGTTAAAAGAACTAGCAAGTATTCTGCTTGGCTTAAGAGTTGCTCGGGTTTCACATCAAAAATTCGCTTTGAATTAATCGGCCTTAAAGGTCTAAGTGGCTGGTAAAACTGTACCTGAACATGTACAAGCTCGAACTCTGGTTAGTTGCAAATTTACATTAAATTATTTTTATATATGTACAGGATAACGAACCGAAATTAACCGCAATTGAGCCAACTTAACCCAAGAAAACCCAATAAAAATCCTCGTTGGGCAGTTTTCCATCAAGTAAAAAAACTTGTGAGTTTAAGAACCCATTTCGCGCTGCTGAAATAATTAAATTTAAATGAAATAACGAATACATATTTAAACGAAAATACACCGGCTATAAAATTCTAGTCGTACGACTGTTGATGTAAAATATTATTTTATAAATGACTACCGAAATAAACACTAAGGTAATATTTTTATCCCTGATTTCAGCAGAACAGACGATTATTTTATCGCATTTTGACGAATCCCACAAGCCACTATATCTAAAAAATGTGGTTGCCTGTAAAGATAAAAATATTATAAATTATCTCAAATAAAATGTTTGCGATTTTGCCAAAAGCAAGCAGATCGAATCGAGAATTAACATAAGAAGAATGTGCGATCTTAAACCGATTTGTACTACGTTATCATGTTCAGGAACCCTTTGTTTGCTTACCCTCTCGTGTTCGAGAAATCACTTCATTTGATGCAAATTGTTATCAAAAATTCACCTCCACTCCGAAAACCAATTTGCCTAAATCACGAAAGCGGTCTTTTTAGGGTAACATCTTGAATTGTGGAATCGTTTGTTGTTCAGGAAAAGCGGAAGTCGTTCATTCTGAAAACGTTGTTAAGAACTCCGAACAGCCGATTTCGATTGGAATGAATCAAACTTTTTGCCTGCAAAATGTAAAAACTCGATTTACTTATGCTATTGTGTCCGTCCATATTATGAGACAAGGTGTTTTTTACACTTGAACCGACCATCAAAGTATGGATCTCCCGGAAATATAATGCGGTTCAATAACATTTCGGGAATTTAAATTGAACGCAACCCTATCAAAATACTTGCCGAAAATTTAAATATCATTAAACCGAACTGAAAAGCAAGCTATTCCACTGTAAGTAAAACGGATTAATAACAGTCAGTAATTTTTTAATTAATGCTTAAAAGTTGGCGTGTTTTTAATCTGCAGAAAATCTGGGCGAAATCCGGCAAGAATTCTATTAATAGTTAAATTTATGAGCTTAATTATATTATGGATATTGCTATTTGCTTTTGATTGCCACTATACTATTAAGTTCGGGGCGTGTGTTAATTAGCCATACCTATATCTGTCGATTTATGACCCCCATTATTACTGAAAAAATACATTTATATTAGCACGAGTTTGGCTGTATTCGTTATATCAAAATAGATATAAAGACAGTGCAGGTACAGGTGCAGAAACTGATTTTTTGGGGCTTTTAAGCCGGGGTGAAAATGGCTTGCATCTTCAGAGGATCGTGAAAAATTTATTTTAGACGACGGCCTAAAAATCTAAAGTTTTCGGCTCAGTTCTACTCAAACCTGCTTAGTCACAGAGGCAAAAAAATTAATCTAGATAAGGTGATGGTCGGAATGCGATATTGAGGCGAATGTCCACTGTTTTTTTGCAGAAGACTCTT